CGGAGAGGAGGTTGGCACCCAGGTTGGCCACAGGGCCGGCCTTGGGAAGATCTGGGCTTGGACCAAAGAGTGTGGCAACAGCGAATGGAGCAGGGGCAGTGCATCTATTGCGGTGACCCTGCCCATATTATTAAATATTGTCCAAAGTATAGGGAAGCCCGATTTGCTGCCCAGGGGTCAAAATGCAGCCGCCAATAGGGTTTGCAACTGCCCTTACCATTAGGCCATGTGGGGAAGTGTGCGCGCACCACCAAGAAACTCCCACACCACATGAGCCTATGGCAGAGGTTCCAGGCCAGTGCCTAGTTAGCTGTCCAGAGACTGCTTGTGTTAGAGTCTCTCTAGGCACTTCCCTCACAGGTCTGGCAAAAGAATTAAAGGAGAGGATGCCAGTCTGGGCCAAGATGAAGAAGGAGAGAGCAAGGGACAACTTGTGTTAGTAGATTTAGAACTTTTTAGAAGCAGAGTTGGGGCCCTTATTGACACAGGGGCTACCCGTAGTTATTTTAGCCGGAAAGCGCTAAAGAAGTTGAGGCTAGGTATTAAAGTCCAGAAGTTGGAAGACCCCATAGTCAGTATCCTCGCAGACAACCGCACGATGCGTGTTGAGGATTACGTCGAGGGAGTCCAGGCGTATCTTCGCCTAGAGAATGAGGGCAAGGCGGAGAAAGTCCTCCATTCTCTGACTCTCCTCGTAGAGGACAACCTCCCTTTTGATATAGTCCTAGGTATAGACAGGGGAGAGGCAGCAGGGGCCACACTGCATTTAAGAGAGCATGAGTGTAGGTTCCCTAGTCCATCAGGTGAAGTTAAGACTGCTCGCCTGTTTCATGTGTCAGGAGTAGATAACTCCTTGGCACATTGCTATCTTAGTGCTCCCCCGTTTGCGCGATTAGTAAGGAAGGAGCAGTTAGAAGAGCAGGTCTTCGTAGCTTACGTGAGGCCTGTCACTAAGCCTACTGAATAGAAGCCAGTAGACCCAGCTATTGCCAAGCTGTTGGACGAGTTCAAAGATTTGGCAGAGCCGCCAACGGGGGTAGTACCATGGCCAATCCAACATCGCATCGAAGTAGAGCCTGCCAATAGAACTCCTAAGGGTGCAGTTTACATGATGTCCCTAAGGGAGTTAGAGGAGTTGCGTAAGCAACTAGACGAACTCCTCGAAAAGGGGTGGATTAGGCCCAGTTTGTCTCCTGTCGGAGCACCAGTTTTATTTATCCGCAAAAAGGAGGGAGAGTTGCGCATGTGCATCGGTTATAGGGGTCTAAATGCAATTACAGTGAAGAATGTTGAGCCGCTGCCCAAAATAGACGATCTCCTGGATTGGGTGCAGGGTTGCAGATATTTCTCAAAGATAGATCTGAAGTTCGGATATCATTAGATAGAAGCTCATCCTGATAACCAATATAAGACTCCTTTCCGGACTAGATATGGGCATTATGAGTTCATTGTCATGCCCTTTGGACTGACCAATGCGCCAGCCACATTTCAGCGCTGCATGAACGATGTGTTTAGGCCTTGGTTAGATAGATTCGTCGTAGTTTACCTAGACGATATATTAGTTTTCAGTAGGACCCTCCAAGAGCATCGGGGTCATTTGAGGCAGGTCTCGGAGAAGTTGAGAGAGACTAACTTCAAGATCAATGCGAAGAAGTGCGAGTGGACCAAAACACAAGTCTTGTACTTGGGCCACGTCTTAGACGGAGATGGAATCAAGCCTGGATAGCAAGATAGCGGCGAATAGAGATTGGTCGACGCCCCGCACGATGACAGAATTGCGGTCGCTCCTAGGCTTAGCTAATTATTCTAGGAAGTTCGTGAGAAACTTCTCCGCTATGGCTGCTCCCCTTCACAGGTTGCTCAAGAAGGATGCAATCTGAAAGTGGGAAAAAAATTGTACATCCGCTCTTAAGAAGTTGAAGTGAGCGTTGATAGAGTACCCTGTCCTCAGGATGGCAGATCCGTCCTTGCCATTTGTCGTCACCACGGACGCAAGGCAGTATGGTATAGGCGCCGTATTGCAGCAGGACGACGTCAATGGCTATAAACCCGTAGAGTTTATGGCAGCGAGGATGCCTTCAGAGAAAGTAGCTACCTCAACTTACGAGAGAGAACTCTACGCTCTCAGGCAGGCCTTAGAGCATTGGAAGCATTACCGGCTTGGGAGGTACTTCAAAGTTTACTCAGACCACGAGACCCTTAGGTGGCTGAAAACGCAGGCCAAGATGACACCTTAGCTAACTAGGTGGGCCGCTGAGATAGATCAGTATGACTTTGAGCTCAAACCAGTCAAAGGCAAGTATAATGTAGTTGCGGATGTTCTAAGTAGGATATCAGATTACTTTGGAGCTATAGTTCACTATCTTGATATAGGGAGAGACCTGCAAGAGAAAGTTAGGCAGGCATATGCACAGGACCCTATTTATAGTGACCTCCTCAAGAAAGTTAAGGAGGCCCTAGAAACTGAACCAGATTACCGCAGAGGGATTACTGTTCAAGAAGACCGATGTACTAGACCGTCTGTGCATTCCTAAGAATGAGGAAATCCGTAGCTTAATCCTAAGGGAATGCCACGACACCAAGGGACATTTCGGTTGGCGAAAGACTCTGGCCAATCTGATGCATGCGTACACTTGGCCAGGAATGAAAACCAACTGCATAGACTACGTTCTCAGTTGCAAAGTTTGTCAAAGGAATAAGACAACTACGCGTGCCACTCTAGGTCTTCTTCGACCCTTGCCTATTCCTGACCAGCTTGGAGATTCAGTATTCATTGATTTCATGGATGCTAGTGTCAAAAGTAGGCATGGAAAGAGCCGAGTCATGGTAATAATGGATAGATTTAGCAAGTACGCTATTTTAGTTCCTTTACCCGCAGAAGCCCGTACAAAGTTAGTAATTCAGAAGTTTTTTGACGTTTGGGTTAGTGATCATGGGATCCCATTGTCCATAGTTAGTGATAGGGACACCCGGTTCGCAAGTTAGAACTGGCAGGAATTAATGAGAGCATACGGGTCGAAGTTATTAATGTCGTCTGGCCGTCACCCAGAGACTAACGGTCAGACCGAGGAGATGAATAAGATCCTGCAACAAGTTCCGCGCATGTATATTAGACCAGATCAAGTTAACTGGGATGAGATGTTGTCCAAGGTAGCCACTGCATATAACAACAACGTTCACCTAGCCACTTGTCGCACTCCCAATGAGCTGCATAAGTCCTTTAGACCGCGCAGACTGTTTGAAGGACTTAACCGGGACCAGATTCATAGGCTACCGCCCGGTACTAGGGAGTTTGCGATTAAGCAGGAGAAGGAATTAGCTACCGTTGTTGAGAACCTCGGAAAGGCCCAGCATAGAATGATAGAACAGGCTAACAAGCACTGTCGCCCGTCACAGTTTCAGGTAGGCGACCTAGTCTGGGTCAAGTCTAAAGAGTTTGTTCCTGAGGAAAACATTTCGCAGAAGTTATTGCTAGCATACAGAGGACCGTGGCCAGTTCTCGAAGTTAAGGGCGGAGAGGATGGACCATCCTATACGATAGAGATCCGGCACACCTCCACACCTACCCTGTGTTTTATGCGTCAAAGTTGCTCCCGTGTGTCACAAGCCAATAGTTTTCATCGAGAAGATCCATGATCCCTCCGGACATGGATGGGAGGTATGACGTTGAGGGCATTGTAGGTGAAGACATGTTTAGAACAGGAGGTAGAGGTTGTCCACAAAAACAATATAAGGTCCGATTTGCTTATCAGGAACCTGAGGACAACTGCTGGTTTACCAGAACTGGACTTCTAGAAACAGCTCCTGATATAGTTAGAGCCTACGAGAGAGATAAGAAAGGTGAAAATCAGGCCTTGGACTGAACTATTTTCGGAGGACCTCGAATTTAGGCCGGCGGGAGTGAAACGGTTTTCATCTTAGCTGTAACAGATGCCGATCCCAGGGCTTGATCCCTAGACCTTACCTTGCCTGTGTACAGTGTCGTGTTGCCTCTTGAGTATTCGAACCCTTAACCTGTGTCTTGATAGTTGGGTTTCGTCTGTCGTAGGGGTGTGTAGTTGTAGGGGCTCGATCTGTAGGTCTATAGAGCAGGGATTGTAGCTGTTCTAGGAGCCGTAGCTTTTGGTTTCCTTGAAGGTCGAGGTCGTAGCTGCTACAGTCCTGAAAGGTCAAGGTCGTAGCTGCGACAGTTCCGAAAGGCCAAGTCTACGGACTTCCGGAAGGTCCGGAAGTGGCCTTTCAAGAATTCTTACGTTTGGCCAGAGGCAAGTGGGCAAGTGGTGAGTCCACCCATGTTGAGTCAGCGGTACCCAGTCCCAGTCTCACTTAGTGCAGTCAGCAAGTACCATATGGGACTGCGCACACCAGGGGCCCGGTGGAAAGAGGCAGACCAGCGACTTCCAGAAGTATAAAGCAAGAGGCAGCGTCCAGCCATTCATTCATTGCTGCGTAAGCCATGCGGAAGCGCTGCCACAGCGACTTGTGCGAGGTGGTTTGCAGTCGCCCGAAGCGGAAGTGGGCCGTGAGGAGGGTAGTGTGCCATAGTTAGTAGTAGCCGGCTGCCTGATTGCAATTTCTTTTGGCCACGCGTGTTTTTTCTTTTGCCCATTTGAAACTCTGTCGAGTCTGTTCTGATATAAATGTACTTGCCCTTTTTATTTTTGTTTTATTTTTTATTGTGTGTTTTTGAAACCTCATATTGTAGGGCTGGTATTTAGGTACACAACGGGGATCAAAAGTCCTTCCGACTTGAGTGAAAACCGTGTTTTTTTTTTTGTTTTTTTTTTTTGGAGCTTGCACATTTTCTCACTTTTTTTTTAATAAATTTATTTATGAAAACACCCTCCTGTGCTAGTAGTGCGGGGACAAGCAGACACTACTAGCGCCGGGGGGGTGGTTCCATCTGCTGGTGGGTGAAACCCCCTACTTATGTTTACCTTTGGCCCTTTTGTGTCCAGGTTTTCCAGAGCGAGGTATTGAGATTTCACTGAGCAGAAAAGTGGAAAAAAGCGATGGCAAAGCGGTCTTTGGTCAGTCCTCTCCATCTGGATGTAATGGACAGGAGGAAAGGTAAAGGATGGAACCATCGCTGGCCGCCGGCCCTTCTTTGGGTGGTGGTATTGACGGTCTTTTTTCTGTCATACGTGATGGTTCGCATTCATGTCAGCCCCTTTATCGATCGCCACTATGATTGGGAAGGGGTCGGAGGGGAAGATGGTGCGGTGGCTATGGGTGAAGAATCTCCTGGAGGGCAAGAAGATGATGTGGTGGAAGAAACTCCTGAAGCTACGGGACAAGAAACTCCGACTCAAGAGTCTCCTGAAGCAGGACAAGAACCACCGGGGGGAGGAACTGCTGGAGGACAAGAAGCTGTGGGCGAAGGGCGTCGTAGAGTTTCTAGAGAAGAATCGAAATTGGGATACTCTCCCTCTCATCATAAAGATGATGATGATGATGGTGATGATGGCGATGGCGATGATGGTGATAATGATGTTCGGCGAGATTCGCTGACGAGAGGAAAGACGGATCCGAACAATCAGCCTTCAGAAGTTGTCTCTGATGAGGACCTGTCAAAAGGGGGAGACGATATGGCTAAAGGACGAGATATCATAATCGAGCGTAGGAGGATGAAAGAGGAGGTTGTGGAGGAGGAGAGAAGGGGGGGGGAGGAGGAGGAGGGCAAAAAGGAGGAGGAGGAGGAGGAGAGGGAACGGAAGGAGGACAAAAGGCACCATACTAGGGTCATTGATCCGGTGTTTGGTGAAAGACGACTGCTGAGAAGTTATGAAGACTTGGTGGCGTACTCGAAAGAGAATGGATGGCTTGACAACTCGTCATCCTCTGCAACGAAAGGAGATGGAATCGAGTTGAAGGACCTATCACTCACCCCTGAGGAGCTTGGTTGGGCAAACGATCCTCCCTCTTATCGATGGAAGGATGCATCGGGCGTTTTCCACCTTCAGGAGCTGGCGATGTGCTTGTTATGTGGCAGCGAAACACTCTATAGACTAAGTATGAGGGATGATCTGGTCTGCAGGAACAGCGAACCGCGGTCGTTCCTATTCTGCACAGGATGGAACCCAACGGAGAGCCAATGCTACGCGAACTCGGACTTGGCCAAAAAGGAGGCGAACAGAACTGGGGGATACTATAAAAGGAGAATGGGTGCGAAATCTCACAATCCATTCATTGCAACCTTTCGAGGGAGTGTGTATGTTTCATTGAACGGGCAAGTGTACACGGATGAATACGTGTTCGATCCAAGAGGCACATGCCCGCGAGCGCCTTTTCCCCCCATCAAGCCAGAGTCCGCTCGGGCTCAAAATCACCACAAGAAGGTGTATGTGGTGGACCATATATGGCCAGGATTTCACCACGACCTGTCGGAGATGGCCCCCCAAATTATGCCCTTTTATGACGAGCTTCTGGCCGACCCCTCCATCGTGATCCACACAACAAGCTTAATGTCTTTCGTTACAGGCGTTGGCATTGGCATGCCATCCACACCCTCCCAGGATATCATCGAGGAGCTCGGAATCAATAGAAGTCGACTCATTGCAGGTGATGTCCACGCCGATGAGGTTGTTGTCGCCGACACGCCCTGCGGTATACCTGAATGGCTGTACAAAGTTTATGCGACCCGGCTGGGCAAAGTGATGCGGGAGCGCGCTCTTGACTCTGAGACTCCCCCTGTTCCAACCAACCGCACTCATTCGACTCTGACGGCAATCGTTAGGGCCAAAAAGGAGGCACAGGACATGATGGAGATTCCCCGTGACGCCCTTGAGACACAACTGAGGAGTGAGAAGAGTAACTTGAGTAAGAGTGACAATGACGGTGACAACGATGCGGCAGTTGCGTCGTCATCAACATATCGTGGTGGTAATAAGGCGGAAGAGCAAAACACGGCAACCGGAAAAGGAACGATGCTCGTAATACGCCGCTCCCAGAAGCGGTTCGTCGATAACCACGACGAACTGATGTCGGCTCTTACAGACGCCTTCGGAAACCATCCGACCCTTAAGCTGGAGGTGTATGATGAGAGACTTGTCACTGGTCAGCGGGCGATATGGCAGCAGTTTGCGAAAGCGGACATAGTCATCGCTCCTCACGGTGCCGGCTTGACGAACATGTTGGTGATGAAGAGAGGTGGGGTGGTGTACGAGTTCTTGCAGCCGATCGGTGCAAAGATCGATCCCGCGCATCTAAACTGCTGCCTGAGGGACTTGGCACTCACTCTTGGCTTGGATTATTTCTCAGATTTCCCTGTCAAATGGCAAGACCCTTACGTCGATTTCGACATGGACCAGGAGCGATGGATCAGTTACCCCTCGCACATGACCGTCAACGTGTCCAGAGCGGTGGCGTTCCTTAACAAGGCACTGCACGACAAGGGATGGCTGTGAGCACACACACCTCTTGACCTGTTGACATGACTCGCGTGACACCTCCATCCCAGGACCGCTACAGTTTTGCCTATTGAGCACTATTGGGGGGAGAGGGGGGGGGGAATCAGAGCTGTGCATGTGGTGTGGGAACTGGCTTCGAAAACGACGGTATCAGACTGTGTAGTCCCCTTTTTTGGGATTTGAACTCAGGTCTGTATTTCAAGTCTCAACAGTTTATGGGTGTACCAACAGTTACTGAGCTAGGTCCACGGTCTCCGACTGTGTAGTCTGTTTTTTTCAGACTGTGTAGCCTTTTTCTCTAGGCTGGGCCATCGCCCGGCCAGGCACGCTCAAGCCAGCTGGGGATCACCTGGCAAAACCAGGCAGGTCAATAAAAGGGAAGGATCCCCCCAAAAAAGAAACTGACTTCAGGCCAGGACTGCGCTCGGCCTGAGCAGTCAGAATCTGGCCTTACTTCCCATTTCGGTGGCGGGTCACCCAGGGCTGTTTGGGGGGTATAAAGTTAGTCTAAACAGTGACTAGAGGGGTTCAAAAGGGTAGACCGTAGATCTGATCTCATTTCTCCTCATGTATTTTAATTTTTTATCTTACAATTAATAAGGAATTTCGAGGGGACCCTCAGCCAAAAGTTGCTTCTACTGCAATCTTACACAACATTTTTTTTTTATTTTTTTTTTCCAGATTTTTTGAAGTTTTGGATTTTTTTTTTTTTTTAATATTATGCGCTGGGGCTGCCCTGGATGGACCCTGCCCGGCCCGGGCCGCCCGGGAGGGTACCCAGGCGACCTTCCCCCAGCCGGGCCGCCCGGGAGGGTACCCAGGCGACCTTCCCCCAGCCGGGCCGCCTGGGGACCAGCCTTACTGGTTTTTTTTTTTTTTTTGTCCCTTTAAAAAGCTGGCCTCTCCTCATTGGGGGACAGCTATGCATATATATTTTTTCTCACCTCACATATTTTAACTGGCTTTCAAAGAGATCGAGGGAGAAGGAGATGGTGGAATATCATGCGTCCTACTAGTGTGAGGGCTAGCTGGTAGGATGGGAATAGGGTACAGCAGCAGCAGAGATGGTGGCTCTGCTGCAGTCAGTTTTGCCGGAGTGGGGTACAGGGGATAGACTGGGGGGGTCTCTGAGTTTTTTTCTGAATTGTGCATATGTTTTTGTTTCTCAAAAAAGGAGGTGAGTGGGAGAAGTAGATGGTGGGATATCAAGCGTCCTAGTAGTGAGGGGGCTAGCTTGTAGGATGGAAATAGGGTACAGCAGCAGCGGAGATGCTGGCTTTGCTGCAGTAAATTTTGCCGGAGTGAGGTAAAGAGGATTGATGGGGGGGGTTCTGAGTCGTTTTCTGAATTTTCAATTTTGCCTATTTCTGAATTTCGTCGTAGAATTCTCTAAGTAGCTCAAATTTTTCTTAGCCAAAGCCGCGTAATGGCCCCGGTATCTCAAACTTTCAAAATTGCGAGAGAAGGTTAACGGAGACCCTAATTTTCAGACCACTTGCCATGCCATTTACATGAAAACCAAAGGGTCATTTTAATCAAACTTGCCACCAATTCGTAGAGTGGAGACCATACTAACTAACT